AAAAAAGTTGCAGGGGAGTTCATCATCATCGTGTAGATCAGTGAAGAAAAAGCTAACAAATGGTGTTTCGCATCCGTACCTTTAAGAATCCTCGACGATCGGCTAGTTGGTGTTCACCGTCAGTTCCGCCGGACTGAGCCGTCGGAGAGAGCTACTCGCCTCTGCTGTGAAACCGTCCAGGTAGAGGGTAGAGCGTTTGGTATGAGATATGAGAGATATGAGACATGTGAGCGTGGCTCTTGCCAGATGAAGCACACAGAGGGCAAAACTGTCTTTTTACCGACATAATGCGATACAGTTGGACGCTGCCCTTCACTCAGCTATAGTGCCCGATTTTTGAAATTTTTTCCGTTGGGGTCTAAAATATGCACCAAACCGGGTTGCCAAACACCACTTTTGTCTATTGTAATAATCTAACTCTATTAACTTACTAACATCTTAATTAGATTTTTGAAACCCGAATTAACCCGAAACCAATCCAAAATTCTAACCCATATAACATTTTCATTTTACTTATGCCAACTTTATTGGTTTTAATAATTAGTAATTAATAATTACGAGCTTTTAAAGTTTATTTTGTTTATACTAAAATTTTAAAATCATTTATAAATAAATAAATAAATAAAGAAAACATATGTAGGCCATAAATCTACTGGGCTTATGATTGGGCCTAGGCCTAATTAGAAAACGGGCTAACACAGCCAGGCCCAATTTTTTGTTGAAGCCTAACTAGGCTTGGGTCGGGCTTGCATCTAACTTTGCACCCATACCCATATTCATATTTTCAAATAAAATTTTAGGAACAATATCAAAACAAAAAAAAACAAAAAAAAAAACAAAAAAACAAAAAAGGAAAAATAATATCAAAATGATGAAAGTGCAAGTCTTTCTTGCATAAATTTATGCACGAATTACTTATACTTCCATTATTTTAGAATTATTTTGCTTACACTCCACTTTTTTGAAATTCTTTCAAAATTTTATGAGTTTTTTGTACTTTTTTTTTGACCTACTTAAAACCGAAACTACAAATTAATAAATAGAAAAGCACATGCCAAATAAAAAACTAATCCAAACAGAAATTTAGAGGGAAAAAAATGGGACAAATTTATCATAACTTTATATGGAAGTTATAGAATAATTTATTAAAAGTAACTTACAGAAAAACATACACGGTAACACAAAGACAAACTAAAATATCTAAAGTTTTACTAAATAGATACTACTTTTTAAATATTGTTTTACATTGTTTACTCACAAAGGAAGTGGGCTCTATACAATACAAAGTGTGAGACACATTTTCATTATAAGCAGGATATGTAAAATGATGTCTGTAATATTGTTTAAATATCTATAATAGATTAGTTTGCAACACAACCACAATAGTGTGAAATTACTTTGATAAGTTTGACTTGTCATGTGTTAATGTGTTTAGCTAATACATAATTATTTTACTTAAAGATTTGACTTCTTTTTCGTTGAACTTTCAACTAGATTAAATAGTTAAAATTTCTTATTGATAAGAATCATTAAACAGAGATTTCTTATCAGCAAGAGTTTTCTATTTAATAATTCTTACTGGTCCTCTACTGTTTAATCTAATTAAAATTTCAATTGAAGACATGCTATTCCCTTTACTTGAAACATAAGAATAAAAAAAAGGAAAAAAATGGGTGATTACATATCAATCTAAATTTTGGATTGTACACCTAAGATTAAGGATGGACATAGCCGGGTTAAGGATGGCTTGGGCGGAGTCCATATTATATAGTAATAGATGTAAGCATGGTTCAGATAAGTTTGGTTTCGTAAAAAATTAGAATCAATTCGTTATTTATGATTTTATAAAAATTAAAATTAATAATCCAAATTAAATCATTTAAACATGATTTGATTTAGTTTGGAACCAAAGATTCACATAATCTGTTAACAAAGAAAAATCTCATAATATTTTTATTTTAATAGTAATCTGTTCATAATTTTTCATGACATGAACATGCACATTATTTCACCATTAATTTAAACAAACATAATATTTAGTTCCAGAGCAACAATAGCAGAAACCATCACCAAATTTAAAAAAAAAAAAAAAAAAAAAAACTAGTTCCACCATTACACCGTTACAAAACTAAAATTAAAAAAATAACACAACAATAGGAACAAAAAACAAGGGTGTATGGTATGAATATAATCTAAGTTGTATATAGTCCGGGTCAATTTCAATCCGGAATCGATATGCGGGGAACAGTTTCTCAATTTTTCAATTCAAAATCGAACCACGAATTCAAAAATCCAATCTAAACCTACCGAATTAGACTGGACTGATTCAATTTGCGGATTTTATAGATTCCTTAATCTACCCTACATAGTAATACTTGAAATATTTTATCAACCCTGGTTTGATTCGACAACAAGCCTATACTTTATTTTCAAACCATCCAAAAATAAAATAAAAAATCTCAAATCTACCCATATGGCTCCAATATTATTTAATATAAATATTTTTTTTATATTTTAAAATAAAAAATATCATTAATTTAATGGTGTGGGTATCTATTGTTGAATAGTAATTCAAAATTTCTAACCAATTCTTTCACATAATTAGTAATATATAATACATGTTTATATGAAAATAAAGCCAAATAATGTAAAATATATACTCAAAATATGCAAATTTATAAAAATATATTATATAATATTATTCGTTTGCAAGTCTTGCCAGGCCGGGTTTGAAACACTCTTCTCAAACTAGAATTAGGCTTAATAAAAAAAAAATTATCCAGTCCCGCTCCTAAATTATAATTAGAAAAGTCCTATGGCCATGTTTGTTTGGGTAGACATGAGCTTGGGATTGGACTAATAGTCCAATAAAATTATTAATTCGATATTTAGTTAAACAATTAAAGTACGGATTAATTATTTTAAACTTGACTATTAGTTAAGATATGATACATAATCCAACGGATTCGTAGTCTTAGGACTATTAGTCATGGGAATGCTAATCCAGTCCGCCCAAACAAACATGGCCTATAAGTTATAGATGAGCCCGGTGTACTGTGCGGCCAAGAGGATGGCAATTTGAATCTGATTGATGGGGATCCGATCCCTGATCCCGATTTAAATGATTTTTTTTTGAAAAATACTCTTATGGGATGAGGATGGTATTCAAAACATAATCTCCGATCAATTTTGGGTCGGGGACGGGAATAAGTGTCGAAGCCCCGTTCTTGGCCCGTTTTTGTCCCCGTCCCGGTGGGAGCTTCTATTTACATACACTAAACCCTCTTTATACACACACTTAATAAAGGGAGTGTGTAAAAAGTATAATGAGGAAAGATGTGTAGAAAGTGTATATTGTGTGTGTAAATAGAAACTCCCCATCCTAGTTTGTTCTCAAAATAAAATTACCATTTTACCCCTCTATATATGTATAATAACCAAACCCTAAAACATTAGACAATCACTCAACAGATATGCGCCTCTCATCTTCTCTCTCTAGGTAGGTCATTTGGACATAAAGATAGATCAATGCATCTGCAGGTCTAAAGGTTGATCAACACATCTGCAGATCTGAAGGTAGATCAATGCATCTTATGTAAAGTTCTTTCTCTTGACTTCCATTGATTTCTTCTTGTTTTGGGTCTTAATGCCTCTTTCTCTTTTGGGTTTTTAAAGATTCATTTGGACATGAAGATCAAAGCCTTCTTTCATTTTTTTCTTTTGTCTTGATGTAAAATATCCATGAAAAATACCATTTTTTCGTTCTTCAATCTCAATATATATATATATATATATTTTGTCATTTGATTAATCTCCAATGATTCTTTTTCCTTTCCTTTTGTTTTTGTTTGTTTTTGGGATTTAACTTCTAATTATGGCAGTATGGATATAGACAATACCCTTTTGTTCCTCGAACTTCAGTTTTTATTTTTGTAGTTTGTATATATATATATTGTTTTGCTTTCAATCAAGCTGAAATGAAATGGTATTTTTTATTTTTTTTTTGGCAATGTTTTTACACTTTCAACATTGGTGTTCTAATTTGGAATTTTTTATTTCAATGTTTTAAATTCAGGAACAATATGTTGTGATACAAACAGTATTCGATCCGATATTTGTATCATGAAAGGGGATGTGAGAACAGACTCTCTCTCCTCGTCAATCTCCCTTTACACCTCAACAAATTCCAATGGCTTCACGAAAAGGGGATTTGAGAACATACTCTCTCTCAAATCTTACCATCTCTCTGTATTATTGGTTTTTTTGGGACCGGGAAATTTTCACCATCGGGGACGGGGAGGCATGTGCATTCTTATGACATATAAACAATCTATTAATGTATAAAAAACTTTAGTAGTAAGTGAAAAAAGATTAAATAAAAAATAAATATTCTATTTGTTTTCACAAAAAATATATTTAAAAAAATATTATTTGGTTTAAAAAAATTAAGCTTACTTTTCAAAAAATTAATTTTTTTTGCATTTCACATTTTTTTTGCTTTTAGTAAAAATTTTTAATTTTTAATATTTAGATACAATTAATCTAGATACACTAAAAAATTATAATATTTATGAAAAAAATCTTAAAATAATTCATTAAATACAAAAATTTCAAAAAAAAAAAATTCAGTATAATTGCATATTTTTATATATTTATTGAAATTTTTAAATATTTTTTTATAAATATTTTACTTTTTAAATGTACTTAAATTATATACATTTAAAAAATAAAAATTTTACTTAAAATATTAAAATGGCTCAAATGTTCAAAACGATGTCATTTTCGGCGTGTTTTTTTTATTTTTTATTATGACAATGCTACATAACTTAAATTTTGTGGCTCAAAAGTGACTCAAATGGCCAAAACGATGTTGTTTTGAGTATAGAACAACATAAAAATGGTCAAAATAACGTCGTTTTGGCCATTTAAACTACTTTTAAGTCACAAAATTTGAGTTACGAGACATTTTCTTTTTTATTATTCTATCTGAAATAGAGGGAGGGAGGAAGTGTTTTTTTTTATTTTTTATTTTTTATTATTCTATCTGAAATAGAGGGAGGGAGAGAGAGAGAGAGAGGGCCACAAAATCTGCTCTATCTTCGTCTTCTTCTATACTTTCCAATTTCCCTCTCTTCTCTGCTCTCATCGCCCTCACCATAGCCCAATCCATCAAGTTCTTCACTTCCTGGTACATCCCCCTCCGTCATGTGTCATATGTATATATATAAACGCGATTGATTCGATTGCAATTTTACATCTTAATTTATTTGCCGATTTGATGAACCAAAGAAGAAGGAGATAGGTTGAATTTGAAAATTTGTACAAAAGAAAGTGATAAAACTTCAAAACTGTAATTGGGTTGTGTGCTTTATAAATGCTTGTTAGTAAAGTTGTTTAATTTGAAGAAACCTTACATGAATGTGATTGATATTTGTGAATAATTTGAAGATGGTGATCTGCTGTATTTGGTTGGTTCTGATGTTTGTTAGTAAAGTTCTAAATTTTTTTGATTTTTCCTTTCATCTATCTCTCTATCTATTCCCCGATCTGTATGGATCTGCGTATTGATTTTGATTTTGATTTTGGGTGTTGTGCTGGTGGAGCAGAAAATACAGAGAAGAAGAAGAGAAGAAACATAGGAGTGGTGGAGCAGATTTGTGTATAGAAGAAGAAGACAGATCTACACAGAGGAAGACAAAGGAAGAAGAAGAACAAAAAAAAAAGTAATATAAAAAAGGTACCAAAACGACGTCGTTTTGGTACCTCGAGCCATTCGAGCCTCGCTGGATTCGAGCCACCTAACGGGATTGAAAAAAAAAAACTTGGTGATTTTCCTTACCTTATGCTAGGATGAAAAATAAAATGTCAAATGGAAAATGAAAAAACAATTTTTGGAAGAACCGAGCACAGAACTTCGATCTGTGGAGACCATCGCGAGGCCCAGCCCAGCGGTATGTGCTTCTCCCTCTTTCCCTCTCTCTCTCTCTCTCTCTCTTTCTCCTCTCTCTGGTCTCACTCTTCCTCATCCCTTTTTGTAGAGACCGATTGATTTTTGTTAGGAAACCAATTGTTTCCTAACAATTCACTTGCAGATCCACGCACCCAGCACTTTCAGGTACAATTATTGTGTAATTATTGTTGTTTTTTCTTGGTTTTTACGGTATATATGTTGCGATTTGCTTGATTTTGTTTCGGATCTATGTATTTTGGTTTCTGAGATATAATTGATTTGTATAGTTTATGTGGCTTCAGATCTATACGTTTTTCTATGCCTCTGTTATAGATGATTTTCTTTGGCTTTTGGATTGTTTCGGATATATCATCAAACAATTGTTGGGCTTTTCCTGTAATTGATGTGGATATGTGTTAGTTTTTTTGTAATGTTCCAATATGGTTCAAATGATTTGGGTTTAGTTTTAAATTTTGGCTGCTGAACTTTATACTTTTGTTGTTCCATTTATATGTAAATTTTAAATTTTTATGTATTTATTTGATATGAGATTGCAGACAATAGAATTGTGTTGCCCTTTCATGGTAAATTGGCTGTGGAATATGCATTTTCTTGTGAACTACCCTTTTGGGACTTATATCTTTGGAAATAAAATGGATAATACAATCGAAGTAATGCTAGTGCTATGTTTGGTTTATTGGAATGAACTAGGAATTGAATGATCATTCCATAAGAATGTCCATTTTCACGTTTGGCTCACTAAAGAAGCTATGAAAAATGTATGTAAACGAAATTATCATTTGTGAGGGAATGGTCATTCTATAAGAAGGTTCCATTCCAATCCACTTTCATTCCAAAGAATGAAATGCTACCTAAGAGATTTTAGAATGAAAAACAAACTGAGAGCAGCTCTATGTAGTAATCTGTTTTGATTAATGCTTTGTGTGGAATCTTTTATGCTAAGAAATATGTATAACAATATCAATTGAAGGTTATGATATGGGTGTAGGTACAAATAATGCTTATAATGGGGAGTTACTGCCTGTATTTCGGATAGTTTTGTGTAAATTGGTATTCACTGGCTGTAGTTACTCGTGATGTTAATTAATAATTTTTGGACACATTTCATTTTTGGAAACACCATCACCATGGATGTGAAGTGAGCCTTACAAAGATTTGACTTTTAGATGATGCCAAATTAGTGGCTTGGAAAGCTGAGAAACCCATTGAAGCTACTGCAACCAGTTTCACATGGCATCGACAACTTAGTGCCTTGATTAACATTGTCAAATTGGTGGCACCAATTTGGCATTACATATGGGCCTTCCTTTATCTTATAATTTGTTCATTTCCAACATAGGTATGCATGACATTTGTAACCTATATTGGTAAAAAGAATGTTTTGTAGCTTATATTGGTAACCTATATAGGTAAAAAAAAAAACTATAAAATTTATTAATTTGTATAACATTTCTCACTTACAAAAGCATATTTTATAGATTTTGTAAGGGACATTCCATCTGAGTAATGATATACAAACTAACAAAACTTGCAAACTTACAAAATTACCCAACTAATTCTTATGCCAAATTAGTGCCTTGATTGACATTGTCTTGCACCCGAGCAATTTCTGCAACCAGTTTCACTTGGCATTGACAATTGAGCCGAAATGAATCAAGTTAGATTTTCATGATAATATATTTCGCACTAGAGAAATATTTGAGTTTGGGTGGTTCAATATTCTTATTTTCCAAAAATTGTATTTTGTTATGTAGACGGATAACAAACAAATCGAAGCAACAATTATGTGTGCAGCTGCATCTACCATTGCTGTGGGTCTTGTAGTCTTGGAAGATGATAGATTTAGGAACTTTATACCTAGGGAACCTTGCATCAATCGAGAGTTTGAAAGACAAATTTATATTAATAGCATTCTTTATAATTGTGATCTTAAATTTGTGGATCAGATAAGGATGAGGCCTATTTGCTTATTTTAAGCTATGTAAAATTCTTGCCGAGAAGAACTTGCTGCAAGGAACCATCCTCATGTCCATTACGGAACGAGTGTTAATGTTTTTACAAATCATTGGTTTTAATTTGAGGTTTCGAACAGTTGGTGGAAGGCTTTATAGATCAAATGAGACTAATATACCAATACTTTAGAGTTGTCCTTTAGGCAATTATGTTGCTATACAAATACGTGCTTACATTCTCTGACAATGATATAAATCTCCAAAAATACCGAACAATAGAAGGATAGGCGAGTTTTAGAGTTTTTATATTTTCTATATTTTTTTGGGTTGTTTTTAAGAAGTTATGAAACAAACATATCTTGTGCTTGTCATCGTTAGGATTGTATCAGAGTGGTAGATGGAATTCATGTTTGTGCATTTGTTCCTATTGAAATGCAAGGAAGGTGAACAAAATATCTTAGTTGCCATTACCTTTGACTTGAAATTCACATATGTATTAGCAGGTTGGGAAGGAAGTGTACATTTTTTTTTTTTGATAATTGGGTATCTGGGTCAGTTTACTCGCATGTCAACTAAATCTTAGGGCCTTGAAGTTAACGACTGAGCAAACCTCCAGTGATCCCAAGGTTTGAGATATTTGGTCTCCGTAGGTTTTGAACCTGCGACCTCTTGGATGGTAAGCCCTTTGGTTGTTTTTCACCCACTAAGCCAAACTCCTTGGGGTTAGGAAGGAAGTGTACATGATTCACGTGTTCTAAATTATGCACACTCTCTAGATCAGGGGGATTTAAAATTCTAGAAGGTATTAATTATTAAATAAATAAATAAATAAATTCTAGAAGGTTTTATAGCATTAAAAAATGATTTTTGTTGTGGATTATTAGTATTCACTAGTAGTTTTTATTTCATTGTAACTTTATAGTTAAATATTATCTTGGTGATATTGGTTGTGGAATTATAAAAGGAATTATCCTATTGTGGTGTTCGATACCATTTGAAAGAGTTTAGTGATCATCAACTTCAAAACGAGAAGGAACTGTTCAATCTTTGTCACTCTTCACTGCGACCTACCATTGAGCGCTGTTTTAGAGTTTTAAAGAAGTGTTTTCATGTGTTGGATGTAGAACCATATTGGCCATTCACGACATAGGTGGATGTGGTCTTAGCATGTTGTGTCATGCACAATTATATAATGGGGGGCTGATCATTCCATAAGAGCCACCAAAAAATACAAATAAGGTTTAACATATATTGAATAAAAGTGGATTTGTGTTATGAAAGTTTCTTGGAGCGTCAACTTGACAACTAGCACTTCATGTGGATCACAAACTCGCATTACATTAAGATAAGTACATCACTTCTGCTAGTCATGTTAACATAGCTTGTTTGTAAATTCAATAATTGAATTAAGAAATTGGTTAACAATCCATTCGATACTAAAGTCATCACTCTTAATCAATAAGAAACAGTATGTAGAAATTTAATGTATAAAGAGAAATAGAGAATTGTATTATTGATTGATATAATGTTATTGTTGAATTATTGAATGCTACAATGATTCCTATATATAGAAGAGTAGGTGGTAGTAGGTGGTAGATGGAGTAGGTAAAGTGGAGGTGGTAGGTGGAGTAGGTGAAGTGGAGGTGGTAGTGGTGTAGTGGGTTTAGTGGAGTAGGTGAGGTGGTAGTGGTGTAGTGGGTTAGGTTTAGTGGAGTAGGTGAGGTGGTAGTGGTGTAGTGGGTTAGGTTTAGTGGGTGAAGTAGGTGATGGGTTTTAACACAGTATATAAGCATTCCCATATAGTTCAATTTAACATTCTTTCTTCGATTGTGAAGATAACAAATCTACCAAACAAATGCATGCTATGATATAGACATATGAATTAAGGCCTTGACGTATAATATATTCAATTGATTGCCCCTTAAGAAGCACGGATACGGATACGGACTCGGACTCGGACTCGGACATAGACACAAACACAAACATGGACACGGATGTGGACATGGGACATGGCGATTTCAAAAAAATGGAGATACGGACATGGTGGAGACACGGCAATAAAATATGTTTTCATATATTTTTGTTTGCTATTTAGATTAATATTACATCCACAAACAATCAATATTAACAAAAAATTAACTCTAATCCTATTTTTTTTATGGATGATCTATTAAGTACTTAAATATAAAAAAAAAAAATATTCAACATTCAACATTCATCAAAAGTCTAAATAAAATGAGGAAAAAGACAACTTGGCATATCCCTAGTGTGTCTCTGAAGTGTCCCCAATGTGGCCTCTGAAAATAAATTAAATAAATAAGGGGACATGCCATGTGGAGTGTTCCATACGTGTCCCTGAAGTATCTGCGTGTTTGACATGGATACGATACTTGTTTTGAAGTGTTGATGCTTCATAGATTGCCCCAGTTACCTACTGATAATTTACACCGCTTCAACTATAGTAAACATATTAATCATTCTATAAGAGCCCACCCAAAAAAAACCAACAAGGTTTAACAAATATTGAATAAAAATGGATGTCAAATGGTTTTGTTAACCAATTTGTTAGTCACTAATTGAATTTAAGAACAAGTTATGCTAATTTGCCTAGCAGGATTATGGTGCTTATCTTAATGTATTGTGAGTCTGTGATCTACATGAAGTACTAGTTGTCAAGTTGAGGTCACGAAAGACTTTCATAACACAAACCCATGTTAAACTTTGTTAGTTTGGTTTTTTTTTGGGTGGGTTTTTATGGAATGGTCAAAATGTTTATTGTAGTTGAAAAGGTGTAATTTATCAGTTGGTTATTTATTTGTTAGAACTTGCTAAGCTTGTTTTTGGTGATTCATAAGGCTTTCGTTTGAGCTCCATTTTATGTCTTGTTGTAATCTCCTCCCCCCCCCCCCCCACCAAAAAAAGTAATTTATCAGTTGATGCTCGAGCTTGGTTTGGTTTCTTCACTATGAATATTTTCATAAATCCATATAGAATTTCAATTGTGCTGACGGCCTGCTTTACTCACTCTGAAGGATATGATTTGGTCTGGTACCATGTCCGAATAGTTGCTGGCTATATAATTCGAATGCTTCTTGGAGTGCATTAAGAAGCTGGGGCAATTATGGGGTGCCTAAATCAGCAGTCTGGTGACAGTGCATTTCTTGGAGAACCCAAGGACTGTATTAGGCCTTCTAGAGGTGGTTTAGCATGTATGGTGAATTCAGAAATTGGCGCAGTTTTGGCTGTGATGAGGAGAAATGTAAGATGGGGAGTTCCTTATATGGCAGATGATGATCACCTAGAGCATTCTCTTATCCAATCTTTTAAGGAACTACGGAAACAAATTTTCTCATGGCAAAATCGGTGGCACACTATAAATCCAGTCCTGTATCTCCAGCCTTTCTTGGATGTGATTCAATCTGATGAAACTGGTGCACCAATCACTGGTGTTGCTTTGTCAGCTATTTACAAAGTTTTAACACTTGACATACTTGATATAGATACTGTGAATGTAGATGATGCTTTGCATCTGATAGTTGATGCTGTGACAAGCTGCCGGTTTGAGGTGACTGATCCTGCATCTGAAGAAGTGGTACTGATGAAAATACTACAGGTTCTCTTGGCTTGCATGAAAAACAAGGCATCGGTTAAATTGAGTAACCAGCATGTATGCAACATAGTAAATACTTGCTTTCGGGTAGTTCATCAAGCTAGCTCTAAAGGTGAATTGTTGCAGAGGATCTCACGCCACACCGTGCATGAACTGATTAGGTGCATTTTCTCACACCTGCCTGACATCGACCATGGAGAACATGCACCACCTCAGGGAGGCAGTTCGTACATTAAGGAGGAGGTAATGGCCTCATTCTTAGTTATTCTGTTGTGATTTTATATATCTGCTGAGCTTTAGAAATACTTTGTGCTTCTGGTACCAGGTAAAAATGCTGGTGCCAGCTCCATTTTCTGCAGATTGCCTAATGAAACATTGATTATGAACTATTCCTTTGGTGATCATTCCAGATAGGTTGATAGCCTGAATTGAGTCAATCAGGCCTTGATTACTCAAATAGGGACGTCTTTAACAATTTGGAACTTGTGGCTCAAAGGGGGAACAACCATTGGATAAAGAATCTGGATTTAAAATTTTTTTTGTTTAATTATTTTCGTGAGATAACCAACGAGGCACAAGGAGGTGCTCAGGCTCACAAGTATATGAATTTTGAGATTAGCATTAATTTGTTATTTCCTTGTTTATTTATTGGACTTTGTGTTTCTTGTTAGGTGGGCGCATCAGATGTGGATCACACTTCCAGTAATAAACAACCAAATAATGGTGTTGTCATTGTGGAAAATAATGGTCTGCCACCTTCAGTTGGATTTGTGGTTTCATTGGAAGAAAGTGCACCTGAGGAAGTTGCCCAGGGGAAGGAGGCTACTACTCAAAATGGAGGGCATGTTTTGACGGAGCCCTATGGTATCCCATGCATGGTTGATATATTTCACTTCCTCTGTTCTCTTTTGAATGCAATGGAACACTTTGAAATAGGTCCAAGGTCAAATCCCATAGCCTATGATGAAGATGTTCCTCTATTTGCATTGGGTTTAATCAATTCTGCTATTGAATTGGGTGGGGCGTCTTTTGGCCGACACCCCAAGTTACTGGAGTTGATACAGGATGAACTGTTCCATAATTTGATGCGGTTTGGGTTGTCAATGAGTCCACTGATTCTTTCTACTGTATGTAGCATTGTTTTCAATTTGTATCATCATCTGCGTACCAAGCTGAAACTACAGATTGAAGCTTTCTTCTCTTGTGTGCTCTTGAGAATTGCACAAAGTAAGCATGGAGCATCATACCAACAACAGGAGGTCGCTATGGAGACTCTTGTTGACCTGTGCAGGCAGCAAGCATTTGTGGCTGAGATGTATGCCAACTTTGATTGTGATATATCCTGCAGTAATGTGTTTGAAGACCTTGCCAACCTGTTATCAAAAAGTGCATTTCCAGTGAATGGCCCTCTATCTGCAATGCATGTTCTTGCTTTGGATGGTCTGAATGCGATGATTCAAGGTATGGCTGACAGGATAGGCAATGATTCTCCAGCTCCAGAACAAGCTGCTTCATCAGATCTTGAGGAATACAATCCATTCTGGACAGTGAAATGTGAGAACTATGATGACCCTAAACATTGGGTTGCATTTGTCCATAAGATGAAGTTCATCAAGAAAAGGTTGATGATTGGAGTCGATCACTTCAACAGGGATCCAAAGAAGGGTTTAGAATTTCTCCAAGGAATGCATCTGTTGCCTGATGAACTTGACCCCAAAAGTGTAGCATACTTCTTCAGATACACGACTGGGTTAGATAAGAATCTTGTCGGAGATTTCCTTGGAAATCATGATGAATTCTGTATTCAAGTGCTTCATGAATTTGCTGGGGCATTTGATTTCCAAGGCATGAATTTGGATACTGCATTGCGTGTTTTCTTGGAAAATTTTCGATTGCCTGGAGAATCTCAGAAGATACAGAGGGTGCTAGAGGCGTTTGCGGAGAGATATTACGAGCAATCACCACATGTTCTGGCCAACAAAGATGCTGCACTTTTGTTGTCGTATTCACTCATACTGCTCAACACAGATCAGCATAATGCACAAGTCAAGAGGAAGATGACTGAAGAAGATTTTATCCGCAACAATCGGCGCATAAATGGAGGGAATGATCTCCCTCGAGAGTATCTCACCGAACTTTACCACTCTATCTGTCGGAATGAGATCCGGATGAACACAGAGCAGGGTGTTACTGGTTTTCCTGTTATGACACCAAGCCATTGGATTGGTCTAATGCACAAGTCCAAACAAACTGCCCCATTTGTCATATGTGATAATTCCGGAGCACACCTCGACTATGATATGTTTGCTATATTGTCAGGTCCCACAATTGCTGCTATCTCAGTGGTTTTTGATCACGTGGAGCAGGAAGACATTTTACAAACTTGTATTGATGGGTTCTTGGCCATTGCTAAAATTTCGGCTTGTTATCATCTTGATCATGTTTTAGATGATCTGGTTGTATCTCTTTGCAAGTTCACAACCCTCTTAGGTCCATTATCTGTGGAAGAATCTATTATTGCTTTTGGGGATGACACTAAAGCTAGGATGGCAACAGTAGCCGTTTTCACCATAGCAAATAGGTATGGTGATTTTATTCGTTCGGGTTGGAAAAACATTCTAGATTGCATTTTAAGCTTGCATAAGTTAGGCTTTCGCCCCCCTCCTCTGGCCAGCAACACGGCTGGTGATTTGGAACCCTCATCCGAATCAGACCGAGGGAGGCCCGCCACAAGTTCTTCTGCACCACCATCTCGCATGCTATCGGCAACCCCATCTCGGAAATCTTCTGGTCTGATGGGGCGGTTCAGCCAACTCTTTATCTTGATACCGAGGAGGAGCCTGTGGCCCAACCATCTGAAGAACAACTTGCAGCTCAGCAGCGCACTCTTCAGATGATTCAGAATTGCCACATTGATAGCATATTTACCGAAAGTAAGTTTCTGCAAGCTGAGTCCCTATTACAGCTTGCTCAGGCTGTTGTCTTGGCTGCGGGGCGACGTCGTAAGGGGAATAATAATGCTTTGGAAGACGAAGAAATTGCGGTCTTTTGTCTGGAGTTGCTTATTGCGATCACGCTGAATAACCGGGACAGGTTTATGCTTCTCTGGCAGGGTGTTTATGAGCACATAGCTAGTGTTGTTCAGTCAACTGCAATGCCTTGTGCTCTTGTTGAGAAGGCTGTGTTTGGGCTCCTCCGGATATGCCAGAGGCTGCTTCCTTACAAGGAAAACCTGACAGATGAGCTTCTCAAATCACTGCAACTGATATTGAAACTTGATGCTCGGGTTGCCGATGCTTATTGCGAAAACATCACGCAAGAAGTTATGCACCTTGTAAAAGCAAACGCAATGCAGATAAGATCCCAAATGGGATGGCGCACAATCACTTCGTTGCTTTCAATTACCGCCCGACATCCGGAAGCATCCGAAGCCGGATTTGAGACACTATCGTTTATTATGGCTGATGGGGCTTACCTGTTACCGGCTAATTATGTTCTTTGTGTGAATGCAGCTCGGCAATTTGCTGAATCTCGAGTTGGGCTTATCGAACGTTCTGTTAGATCGTTGGATCTGATGGCAGGCTCTGTTGTCTGTCTTTCAAAATGGTCCTGCAAGTCAAAGGAAGCTCACGGGGAGGAGGAAGCTACGAAAATGAATCAGGACATAGGTGAGATGTGGCTGAGGCTGCTACAGGGACTGAGGAAAGTATGTCTTGATCAGAGAGAAGAGGTGAGGAATCAAGCCATTTTGTTGTTGCAGCGGTGCTTGACAGGGGTCGATGGGATCGTCGTCCTTCCGAATGAGTTGTGGTTGCAGTGTTTCGATCTAGTGATATTCACATTGTTCGATGATTTACTAGAAATTGCGCAAGAGAACTCTCCCAAGGACTATCGGAACATGGAATCTTCCCTTGCTCTATCGATGAAACTCTCATCCAAAGTGTTCTTACAGTTCCTGCACGATCTCTCACAATCGGCATCTTTCTGCAAGCTATGGCTAGGAGTTCTTAATCGTATGGAGAGATATGTGAAAGTGAAGCTCAGAGGGAAACGGAGTGAGAAGATCCATGAACTAGTTCCTGAGCTTCTCAAGAACACTCTGCTTGTCATGAAGGCGAAAGGAATTCTTGTGCCGAGTGATGCCATTAATGGGGACAGTTTCTGGCAATTGACTTGGCTTCATGTGAAGAACATAGCTCCATCTTTGCAAGTTGAAGTGTTCCCGGGTAATGAATTGGAGCAGTTGCATACAAAAACAGCGGAGTAGTCCTGTTTCTGATGGGAATTTGAATTCAATGTCTGGAAAATTGTTCTCAGTTTGGCGGGTTGTAGTGAGATTTTGTTTGGGAAAACTTGAAATTGGCCTTAAATTGAGGAGACCTGAAATGGGGACACTATGATATTTTTGCGGCTGAGAACCAATATCGGAAATTTTTACCAAATTAAAGATTTGTAGAACCCTAAATCTGCAGAAGTAGAGGGAAGTGGAACAGTACTATAGTCTCATCTTCTCCGATTTGCAGTTTTTATGTGCTTTCTTCGTCTTTTTTTGATCTCCATGGCTCTGAAAAGAGTTTGTGCTTTTTTGAGGTTGTTTGGTGCGATGGGCTATTTAATCTGTCGTTTGGGATGAGAAAATGGTTCCCTGAAATTTTGCATCGGCAAAAAGACTAATACTGAATTTAAAGTAACCTATTGAAACATTTTTCATTTTTCTTTGTATAAATATAAATATTGTGTTACATCTTTTGGTATATGATACACTTCATTCATGGATTTCTAAATTTGTATGATTTAGGAAATATTTGTTAATTATGATTGTAATTTTTATTTGATACAGAATGTTGTAGATCTTCAATAAAAGAGTATGCAGTGGTGGCGTTGGTGCAATGCTAAAAAGTGTAAAACTTTTTAACATACGTTGTATGTAGCATAGCAAGTTAAAAAAACAAATTTTGAAAATTACCACTCTTTGGTAAGACTCAATTTGAATCTACGGCCATATTGGTTTGTCGGATTAGGCTGTAAACAGATCGAATTCAAGTCGGATAATTTTGTTTATTTGTTGGATTAGACTGTAAACAGATTGAATTCAAGTTGGATTTAAGAATTTTTTTATTTGATTCAATTCAATGAGTCATCCATCCGAATTTAACAGATCTGATAATGATTTATTCGAATCCGAATTCGCGTTATAAACCCAACCTGATCCATTTTTTGTGAAACAATATAACATACTTATTCCTATTTTTACATGCGAAACACAGTTAATTATCTGATTTTTTAGTTCATCATAGTGGATTAAACATGCAAATCAAAATACATTAGACTTTTGTTATATGCCTCGTGAGCATCCTCTCATTGCAAGTCAGTTATTAAGAATAAGTGGGTTACCATGATGGTTAGTTACGATTTCACATCGATTAATATAGATCTTGGCCATGTACATATAAATCTATTGGGCACCTTCTCTTCATATGCTGATTTTCAAAGGTGAGTTTTCCCGAGGGATTTGTATCATACTACTAATTTGTTCATCCATTTACTTATTTAAAAGATTATTATTAATCAAGCCAAGTCTTCATATTCCAAATAACCTCTGCTAAATTACAAGGTTGAGATGTTTAATAAGTATTTAAATCCCATATTGAAAAAGTTGCGTAATGGGCCCATAAATTGGAAGGAAAAAAAATTAAAATAAATAAACAATAATAATAATAATAATAATTGTGCGATGAAGTTTCAAGGGAAAATTAGTTTAAGGTCCCTCAACCCTACACTCATACATCACAGAGAAATTTCTTAAATCAAACCTCATTGTTTTTTCTCTCTAAACTCTCTTCCTCTGCTAAATTCACCTCTTCTCCTCTCTCTCTCATCTCCACGTCTTCCAGATCGTTCCATTGTCACCACGAAGACTTCCAGATCGTCCCTATTCCCACTACCACCGCCATGTCCATGCTCGTCTCCGATCGCTGCTTTTCTCGACAAAAACTTCTAAATCGAATTCAGAGTTGTGGTAGTGGTGGCCCGTCTCCATTATCATCATGGTCATATAGTGGGGAGGCTTCTTCCAGACCTGTTGAAGGTATACATTGGAATTTGGGTTTCCATTACACTAGTTTATGGTTTACGTTTGATAGTTTTTGGGTCTTAATGTGATTGTGATTTTGTTCTTTTTCAATTACAAGATTTTTCTCTACTTCTGTCTTTAAGTAATGATTGAAAATATCATAATGGCAACTAAAAAAGAGAGACAACCTTACACGATCTGGGGACATGGATTTAGCAAAGAAGTTGTTTGAGGAAATGCCAAAGAGAGAATGTCTAAGGTCCCTCAAATCAATCTAGAGAAATTTCAATCTAAACCAGAGAATTTTTCTGGACCAAACTAAAGAAAATTTAGTCTAAACCAGAGAATTTCTCTGGGCCAAATCAGAGAAAATTTAGTCCAAACCAAAGAATTTCTCCAGACCAACTTAGAGAAAATTGAGTTCAACCAAGAGAAAATTCAGTTCAAATAAGAGAATTTCTCTAGACCAACCCAATTTTCTTTGAAGCAGAGCACTAGTCCTCATTGTTGTCCAGAGAAATTTGGAATTTTTTTTTGTGATGTGTCTAGAGAAATTTGAAATTTTCTCTGTAATTTGTCCAGAGAAATTCTCTGGATTGAATTTTCTCTAAATCGATGTTGAAGGACTTTAGATATTATGAAAATATTGAGTGTCCTTTATGTTATAAAATCTTAATACCAGGATCTTAAAAAAAATCTCCAAGTTTCAACTACCAAGAGTGACATAAGCATGCTCTCATGGTGATAGTTGCTTCTTTCAATATGTATTCAAAACAGACAACAAAATAACAAATTTAAGTAAGATTTAAATTTAGAAATAAAAATGAAAACCTCTTAAACAAAGTTATGGTCAAAATAAAATATTTTAAAAATAGCAAAAATGAAAAATAATCTTCTTTGATATCTTTTTGTTAGATTGAGAGAACAGATAGAAGATTTATTTATTTATTTATTTTTTAATTTTTACAATTGATCTAAGGGAGATTCTTTCATTTTTTTTCATTGGAGGGTATAACCCCCTTTTGCATTCTATTGATGTTTTTATTTCATTTATATTAGAGTTTTTAAAAGTAATTTGTTTGGTATAACCCATGGTTTAAGTTTGAAAATATTAAAAAATGAAAAAAAATCGCTAATTGCTCTGTAAAAAAATAAAAAAAATATGCCCCTGAATGAATTTTTTTCCCCTAATTTCATCAATAATGAAGCAAGATTGTAAAAGAGAAAATGTTATGTGAAATGATAAATTTTTGTAAAACATTGCAATAAATGTATGGGTATGTTTCAATGTCTAGTATTATGTATATGTGACCGTGCTATGTGTCCTTCTATCATTGGTTAGTAGCACTTTTATATTGAATTTAGGGTAAATTACAAAAACACCTTTTGAAGTTTGTTTAAATATGAATTGCTCCCTATAGTTTGAAAAATTATAAATATCTCCCTGTCATAATTTTTTATTTAACAAAATTAATTAAAAAAGTAAAATTTTTAACTGTTTATCTACACAATAATAAAATTATTTAAATTATTAATTGAAATAAAATTTTAACATTATTAAAAACTATTAATTAACTTGAAGATTTATTAATAAAAAGACCTATTTGTTATGAAATTAAAAACCTTAAGGGGCATAATGGCCTTGTTTGGTACAGCTTAATTTCAGCTTATTTCATTTTTCAGTTTAATTTAAGCTATTTTGATGTGTTTGGTTTAGCTTAACAATACAACTTATAACTTTTTGTAAGTCAGAAATTAACTTATTCTTTGAGTGGGGCAGGAGAAACTTAATTTATAAGTCAGAAATCAGTTTATGTTCATAGTTATAAGCTATAAGCTGTTAAGGTATAAACTATAAGCACTTTCTCACAGCTCTACCAAACAGGGCTAATGTAATTTTTAAAACTACAGAAGCTAATTTGTAATTTAAGTAAACCTTAAGAAGTGTTTGTAATTTACCCTTAATTTAACATTTTTATATTAAATTTTCACTCAATGATCAGTTTATCATCATATGTTATTTGACAATCAGAAAATAGCTCCAATTTCAGCACAAATCTAGCCCTTTTTAAGTTCAACCCATTCAAACATATTTTCATTTTCAGTTTTCAAATTTTTTGAAAACAAGAACAGAAAACATAAAAACGTAATAATGGCTTAAAAAAATTTGAAAACTGAAATAACTTTTGTTTTTGTTTCCATCAATAATTTTTATAATTTTCAATGGTGTTTTTATTTGTCTACTCTATTATATAACATGAGAAAGTTGGTGTCAAGTTAGTCACGCTATTTTTATCACCAATTTTACTGTCACAAATAACATATTCGGTTTTCACAAATTTATGAGGACAAACAAGAAAATCAAAATTTTGCATTGACTACACAACTCAAAAACTGTTTTAGTTTTCATATTCAAAAAATTGTAAAAACATACTTCACAATCTTATTTCCCCAGAATGAAAACGATCCTGTGTGCCACCACTTCTAGTTTTCAATATGAGTTTTCATTCTCGCCTCTCCCTCTCCCCCTCCCCCGAACTTCAACCACCTGTCCCCTCCAAAAACTTACCAAACCTATTTATTGTTTTTATATATTTTGAAAACATGTTTTTTGTAAACTAAACTACATAAACATGTTTTCAGTTTACACATAAATTAGGAATCTGGCAACATTACCGAACGCTACCACCAATGCAACGTGGTAGAGTACATGCACAAAGACAAACAAATGCGAGTTCAGACTAACTAGGATCAATCAGACACGAAAAGTGATCATAAAGAAGATTTATTTGTAACTAAACCAATATACATTGCTGAAAAAGATAAAAATGAATCAGCTGTTCATTCCTCTCTGTGTTTTTCGCAGAGCAACAAGAATTGATGATGATGATGCACTGGAATCTAACGTGAGATATACCAAACCTACAACTATGTAGAGAGTTCATGAATTCTTATCTGGTATATAAACTAAGAGCTGTGCATCAAAACTTGCATCGTCGTGAATTTTAGAAGAGAAGCGACACAGGCTGTCAATATGAGTGAGTACAACCTGGATGAACCTTGAGCTTGAATATCCTGTAATATTGCCAAAAAACAAAGTGTATGAAAGAAAAAGTCAAATGATGTTATTGCAGCTCAAATGTCGCCCTAATGAGATGTTAAGTGGTCTCTTACCATCAATGTGTTTTATTTTAAAAAAAATTATTTAAAAAGATACGGACTTCTTTTTTAACTTATTTAACAAATTCTGTGGAAATGCGGTTAGTAAACACGTTTTTTAAAAGCATGTTTAGTAACCATACTTCCAAATTTTCTTGTTTGGAGCTTAAATTTAGAACAAATGGTCACTAATAGTCGTAGTGTAGAAAAAGCATGGTTGCTAACAATGTTTTGTTTTACTGAAACATTTTTACCGTCCCAGTTTTCACTAGAGTTTGAATAGAATAGGAAACCAGAAAGCTTGGGTTTCTACACACGCTTTCAAGAAAATGTGAGGTGTTTACTAACCACCCTTTCATGTAATTTGGAAAATAAGTTGAAAAAGTCCTTATTTAAAAAAAAAATAAAAATGTATTGATGGTAACAAGCCAGTTATAAGTATATAATACATTGAGTAGTAAGTACTACATGCTCCTTCCCCCTTCTAAGCATTTTGAACCCGAAGATTAGATGGACAAAAAAAGACGAGAAAACAGATTTTGTAAATTCAATCAAACAAAGTAAGCAGTTTCTCAAAAGCAAGATTACTAACAAAGAGGTTAAGTTGAAAGGGGCAAAGGGATAAACTCCAAACAACATTTATTCATCATGTTGTACAAGGGTAACTAAAAGAAACAATCAAAGCATCTCCCAAGGGCCCAAGTCAAAGCTATAGTATTAGCAAGTTATATAGATATATATATATCTACAAACGAAAACCAGTTATATAGATTATATATTCATACTCCAAAGAATTAATAATAAAAAAAGTTGGTGAAACACATGAAATTACCGTGGAGTTTCTCATCAAAATCAACCTACCATCACTAGTAACATTTTAATATTCATATTGTAAATAAAATCCAAAAAGTTTCTCAAACTCAGTGAGGTTGAGTTCAATTTGATTTCAAGATTGGAATATCATAGGCTTACTTCTAGAAGATAGTTCTTCTTAACATGTAAAAACAAATACAGTTTCGCTGTCAACTAATGCATTCAGACAACAAAAAGAAAGAGAGAAAAAAAAAAAAAAAAATGGGGAAAAGCAGCACTTCGGATCCTATTTGACTTTCCATTACTAGAATGAATCGAATCCTATCAAATATTTCTATTTTTCTATTGAATTACTCATATATATATATATATATATCCATTAAAGAAAGATTTGAAACAAATGATATTGACCCTGTTTAAGATTATTTCTCCTGTCTATGTGGATTGTAGAAAAATACAAGAGACCACAAGAATACATGTATCTTCCATCCTATGTTTACACAGATTCAAGTATGGGTGTTGGGTGCAGGTATATGTCTCATTGTCAGGCTCTTCTAATTCCAATGTCTAAGGACACTGGACACAGCTTTAGATATTCATATTTTTTTTAATATTCTTCATTTATTTTTTTAGGATACAATGGTTTTTACAAAGTATGCTTACTAGGTGGATGGGCAAAGTGTCTGATACGGGTACCTTACACATTTAGAAGAGTCCATGTAAAGGAGCAGTTCCTTCAATGCATACACTTTCGGACAATGTGAATTTAGACTTAAAGCTCATGATCTCCGATTCATGCAATTATTGACTGAAAATTTAAATTGCCCCACGTGTTTTTATTTGTTACAACAAACAATTCTGTTCTGCATTATTAGATAAATGAGGGAGAAAAATATTTTTAGCAATGCTATTTTCATTAACCATATTCTAATTATTTAGCTTTGTTAGGTCATCAATTTATTTAATTGAACTACATACGGAAATATTTACTTTCCTATAAATACAAAATTCTCTCAATGAGTTCAACGGGCATTTAAACTTTGCACACTACAAATAGACAAATTCAGAGTAGAAACTGTAACAATGTCCCGTGTATTATTAGGTCTGTGTTCACACAAACCCCTCCAAGAAAACATGAAAAGAAAGAGAAGGGGAAAACAATCTCCTACCTTAGGTAATTCATAAGTATTCTAGGAAAATATTTCTAAACTAAAAGTCATTAACCCCAAAAAAAGAAGTTTAAATTATTCAAGTCCCAAAATATGTTTAACATGTCTAAATAGCGAACCTAAATGTACAAAAACATACTATTAGAAATTAAATGCCAAGGGTACCCAAGGATAGTGTGAAAGTGAGCAACAAAAGTAATCAGGACAAATAAGAATATAGATGGTTTGGCACTTGGCTCATGTCCATGTGCATATTGGCAAGATATAAATCGACAATTGAATTGGAGATTACAACATTCATGGAAATTTAACCATATATAAAATAGATCGGAGAAATCCACCAATATCCATCTCTTAACTAGCTCAAGAATTGTAACATGTTACTACGTTGCAAACTGTGGACATAAGTATAACGCTAAAGTATGTAAGCCTTTATGTTATAACTTGCGATTTGTTTGCCTTTTTTTTTTTTTTTTTTTGTCAACTTTCCTAGAGAACGAGCCACTCGATAAAGATGCGGAAAATCCGCGGCAAAAGAAGATTGACCCATCCAAACATCCTCCCAAAATCGAACAACTTCCCCATTACCCACCCTTACAGAAAGATGTCGAGACCAACATGTGAAAATTTGAGAAATTGACTTCCAAGGAGCACGGCAACTACCCCTTAAAACCACTTGTGAATCCCTACCATTGTCCTGAATCCCATATTTGCTTCTAATAACCGAATGCCATAATGAATCAATCTCCAGTGGAAATCTCCATAACCACTTGCCAAGAAGGGCCAAGTTCCTAGCAACAATGTTACCGATAGCCAGACCCCCTTTCTCCTTAGATAACGACACCACCTCCCAATTCACCAAATGATCCTTTTTCCCCTCATCCTTACCTTCTCAGAGAAAATCCCGCATCAACTTTTCTATTGACCTTGCCACCTTAACCGGAATCTTGAACAAAGATAAATAATAGATAGGAATTCCGCTCAAAACAGTCTTAACCAAAGTGTACCTTCCCCCTCGAGATAATAAAGCCTTGCTCCAGCCGTCCAATCTTTTGCCAATCTTTTCCATTACTGGAATCCAAAAAGCTTCACTTCTAGGATTACCCCCCAATGGGAGACCTAAATACTTAATCGGAAGGGACTCTATACCACAACCTAAAAGAGACGCCCTATTCTGAAGTTGATCTTGCTGCATATTAATTCCCACCACACTACTTTTTCCCAAATTAACCTTGAGTCCCGAAATAAGCCCAAAGATTCTCAAGATCGAATACAAATTGAATATCTGATTTTCATCCCCCGTAGAAAAAAAGATAGTATCATCCGCATATTGTAAATGGGTCACACTAACTCTATCCCGCCCCACCTCCAACCCCTTTTCATTAACCATATTCTAATTATTTAGCTTTGCTAGGTCATCAATTTATTTAATTGAACTACATACGGAAATATTTACTTTCCTATAAATAAAAAATTCTCTCAATGAGTTCAACGGGCATTTAAACTTTGCACACTACAACTAGACAAATTCAGAGTAGAAACTGTAACAATGTCCCGTGTATTATTAGGTTTGTGTTCAAACAAACCCCTCCAAGAAAACATGAAAAGAAAGAGAAGGGGAAAACAATCTCCTACCTTAGTTAATTCATAAGTATTCTAGGAAAATATTTCTAAACTAAAAGTCATTAACCCCAAAAAAAGAAGTTTAAATTATTCAAGTCCCAAAATATGTTTAACATGTCTAAATAGCGAACCTAAATGTACAAAAACATACTATTCGAAATTAAATGCCAAGGGTACCCAAGGCTAGTGTGAAAGTGAGCAACAAAAGTAATCAAGACAAATAAGAATATAGATGGTTTGGCACTTGGCTCATGTCCATGTGCATATTGGCAAGAGATAAATCGACAATTGAATTGGAGATCACAACATTCATGGAAATTTAACCATATATAAAATAGATCGGAGAAATCCACCAACATCCATCTCTTAACTAGCTCAAGAATTCTAACATGTTACTATGTTGCAAACTGAGGACATAAGTATAACGCTAAAGTATGTAAGCCTTTATGTTATAACTTGCGATTTGTTTGCCTTTTTTTTTTTTTTTTTTGTCAACTTTCCTAGTTGCACTTTTGCACCTAGTTTTCTTCATTTCAATTCTCATTAGCTCACTTTCAATTCTGCATTTTTCACTTGTAACAAGTAAAACAAGAGTTACATGATTAGACTGTATGACGTTTGATGTATAGCTTATTAATGCCTGTGGATTTTGTTTATCCAAGAATTAGGGTTATCATATTGGTGCACAAGGTCATGTTCAGAGGGGGAACTTCTTGGGTATTGTTTGTGGATGCATTGTTTCATCTAGAAGGTAAATTTTGATTTCTTTTTGGCAATGCACAACTTCCCTATACATCAAGGTCTCCCACATATTATTTATCAAAATTTATTTACTAATTTTGGAATAAAAAAATAGCATCCTGCCATTACCACATTTCTAATAACATTATTACACCAAAAGAGAAGGTATTATGGATTTAGCAATAAAACAAGGCATTTCAAAGGGAAAGAAACTCATACCTTTAAAGACAAAAAAAATGATGTTGCAGATGAAGATTTCAGCCCAGCAAACCCAATATCGTATGAAATGTTCCCATCAGCTTTAAACAGTCCAAAGTTCCTCTCGGAAGCTGGACCAGGCTTCGAATCTTCATTAAACATTGCAAAAACATATACCTTCAACACACTTTTTGGCCGGCGGGGGGTCCCCTTCCTCTTGGCAAGCCTCTTGCGGAGATTATAATTGTAAGTCCTTGCATTGCTTACTGTGGCGGCAGCTTCATTTTGATCTCCATCAGAAGCCCAACCAGTCTCCGTAACTATAACTTCCATCTTTTTATATCCAGCATCTTCCAGTGCAGCATAAGCTGCATCAATCTCAGCATCGAGCATGTTGTCATAATGCAGATCAGTTTTCTGATCATATATTCCCTGAGTTGACTGGAAAAGAGCATAATTTATATCAATTTCTTTTGGATTATTCATATAATCAAGAAATGGATAAGCATTCAAACAGAAAGGGGACCCAGTCTGTGAGAAGAACTCCAAGAGTGGCTTCATATATTGTGCAATACTCTCTTTGAAAGTACAGGAAGAGGGAGGGTAAGAATTATTAAAAACAGCCTCTGAATGTGCAGTGGAAATCTGAACTAATTTATCCAACTGAAGCTCTTTTGTGGCATTGTATATATTTTTCACTGCACCCAAAAGCGATTCAAATAGTGATTGATCAGTCCCTCCCAAAACTTCATTTCCCACAGCAATCCCACGGATGTGTGTCTCGGGAAGGTATGCCTGCACATTTTCTTTGACCCAAGTCAGGGCATGATCCGGGTTAGAACTCATGTCTTTCACGTATCCATTTGGAAGTCCAACCACTAATTCAAGCCCTGTTCCACTGAAAGCCTGAAGGACACTGTGATCAAAATCAAATATTCGAACATTCTTAATCTTTGCTGCTCGGAGGAGTGTAATAACTTTATCAGGAGAGGGGATGTTATCTGCAATTCTACCATAGTTTATCCCATAAGTTCCAGTGAATGCTTCCACTGCCAGAAGTACTAGGGGGAAAGAAAAACAGAAGCAGTTCCATTAACCACAGTGTCATTCCATTCTCAAGAATAGCAAGACAACAACAAATTTTGCACCAGAAGATATTTAAATTATCAATAGAAATAAATTTATTCAGCAAATACCACAATGTCACAATAAGATGTAATGGACTTAAGAGTACTATCACTGGATTTTGTTTACTGGATTTCCCATTTTTCTATTAACTAATGCCAATTCCAAAATAATTTTCAACAATTCCATTAAAATCCTAGGAAGCCAAGAAGGATAGAACATTCCATTGAAATCATACATTTAACCTCAATTAGTACCTGGAGTAAATTTGAATTTTTTTTCTATTGTTCATAGTTTAATACAAATATATAAAGACCAAAGCCACTAAATTATATGTGCATCGTAGAATGCATCAGAAAATAGCTCAGCAAGAAATAGGGGAGAAACGTTAGTGGTATACCCAAAAGCCAATCTGAGAGATGCAATAGGGATACTTTTATAAAACAGTGTCATTAATAAAAGGGCAAGATTATTTATTATCTTGTTTACTTTTTGTATTATTGTTCACATGATAAGTCCATAGCACTAAAGTTGATAAGACATGTTCTTAAGAAGAAGACTCGTACTTCTCAGTCCTTTATGTAGGATAACTAATTAAGCGCTAATCCAGTGGACTAGCACATGTTACGATTGCTCAATTAGGAGGGCGGCTAATCTCAACTCACTTGTGTGAAGATACTAAAGCAAACATGGGAGTGCTTTTAGATAACAAATTCACTTAACTTGACCGCTCATAAATGTCTATAAGTTGCATTTGTGTATGTAATCATGAACATCATGGCTGCCTTTTGTGTTGATCGTTAAGCTTTTTAATGTGCAATACAAAGGAATTAACAGATTTAGTCATAATTAAGAGTTAATTAAGGACTCACCTTAATTAAGAGTTGACTAAGGGGTTTATTGCAATTAAGAGTTAATTATGATAAACCTTTTCTTTCTTTTTTAATAAAATCTCTGTTGTTGCTAAAAAAGAGAGGAAAAGAAAAAAATAAGTTAATTATGATAAAACATAATTCTTGTAAGACAAGGTACACGTAACTTTGTGGGACAAGGTAGTCTAAGTTTATAAACAAGAGAACTCTCATATGAGCTAGCATCCTAAGTGATTGCATTCTCTCTCTCTCTCTTAGTTTCTCTATACTAATACTAGTGAGAGTGTCTGTGTTTGGAATTTGCTCCATGTGATACTTTTAGAGGTCGGATGGTTGAAAGGTTTGTTGGGTTTGAGTGAACTCGGAGGAACAAGAGCAAAATTGGACTTTGCAATTAAGATAATCTTCTAATTACAATATATGGATGATTGTATTTGCATTTTGTAAAGGGAAAAAATAAAATTAAGTGCATAAATAATTGCAAATTTATGAAAGTATAACACTCATTTGCACAATTTAGTGCATAAATAACTTTTATTCTTATGAATTTGTAATTATTTTTCCAACTTCTCACTTTTTTGACATTTCCCCTTTTGTAAATATCACGAACATTTAATTTCGTGGTGCCTTGGTACACAATTCCTTACAAAAAAAGAAAAAGAAAAATCAAAACCGGTGGTCTCAATAATACAACATTAAAAAAAAAATAATTTATGTGATTAGGAAGGAATTCAAGGTGCAATTTAGCAAGTTGATGAGTACAAACACAGGCTTGATGGGTGGATTAACATGAATTGAAACTGGTCCGTGATAATTCCATCAATGAATTGAATAAATAGCATTCATGAAAAGATATACCGTTAAAGTCATCCTAAAAGTAAAGAGCTCGAATAGAAACAAAACAAAACAAAACAATTACAATCTCCCGATGAAAATTTCCAACCTAAAAAGATTTGATTTAAAACATATACACAAATAGAAAGCATCCAATCCGCCATTAGAGAAGAAGGATGATCAGTGATCTGAATCCACAGAACAGAGTACAAATTAACAAATTATTATGGGAAATTGAAGTTGAATTATTCAGAGAGAGAGAGAAGGAAGAGTAAAGTTTATACCTTTAGGAGTGAATAAGATAGAGATAGCGAGAATGAAACGACCAAAGGAACACCAAATCTTCATTACTTCAAATTGACGATGACGATTAATCTCCGTATAATTCCTTGGATACAGTGCTTCCTATTACCAAAGCATGCCATAAAACACCAATAACAATCCACTTTTTTGCTCTCTCTCTCTCTGTAGAAGGTTGCCGGAGAGGGTGGAGTCCGGCGGCGGAGGACGGTGGTTGGAGGCGGAGAGGACTTAAGAGAGGAGAGGGTATTATATTATATCAGTAGTAGTGTTTGATGTTTGGTTTGGACTCTTTGAAGAAAGAATCTTCATCGTATTTTGGGTTCGATTGGACAGCTACCTATTCATTTTCTACTTTTTTTTAAAGCTATTCTCATTCATTTGCTTGTGCTTTTCTTAAAAGTTAACACATATGCGTGGCGGTGAGATGGACACCAATGACAATGTTAGGCTATCTTACGAATATAAAATAAATTATTATTATTTTTAAATGTAAAAGAGGATGGAGTTTTTTTATTTTATTTTAATTGATTTTTTGGTTTAAGATTAAGTAAGGAAATTAAAAGATTTGTAAATTAAATTGGTCAAGATAAATTCTGTTGGTTTTGTTTAATTTTTTTAATTCCTGGTTTGATTCTAATTTGAAAAATTAAGAAATTGATCTTTGCAAATTAGTTACGGATTTAGGTGCACAGTTTCAGATTTGAATCGAATTGGATGGTACAACTTAAACTATATAGGTTTATTTGTTAAATATTATGTTTGTTTAAGTTAATGGTAAAACAATATGTTTGTTTATATTTTAAAGAATGATAAAATATTAATATTGAACAATATGTGTTTAATGTTATGTTTTTGCTTAATTGGTGAATATTATGAAAGTAGTTTGTTTGATACGTTTGTTATTATTATTTTTAAATTTTATGATAGGTTGATTTTTTTAAAAAAAAGTGACATATAATTTTTTTTTATGAACAAATTATGTGAAATTGTAATTTCAAATTAAATCGAACCGTGTTTAAATAGTTTGGTTCGAATTGATTCATGATTTGATAATTTGGTTTGATTCTAATTTTTATGGAATCGTATATAATGGATTGGTCTTAATTTCATTCAAAATCAATCCAAACCGAACAATGCTAATTCCTATTTTGATTTTTCATTTCATACAATGACATGCACAAAAGTATAAACAATGATACCACAATTTACTTTTTGACTTTATTAATCACTTCCCAAACAATACCTAAATCCGCTCAGTCCACCTCTTATGTGAAAACATATTAGATAATTTTGAAAGATGATGTTTCATTTAGTACACAACTTATAATATTATAAAATAATGCCTAAAATATGCTTTTTTGTTCAATTCTATAAACCGTTAACCCTAACCATACTTTTTAACATAAACCGTAACTCTAACGGTAACTTTAGCTCTTTTTCCTTCAACACCGGTCATCCACCTACCGCCTCTACTGGCCTCCTACCCCACCAAACCTTGCTCTCATTCTTGATCTCAAACCATTCTCTGCACCCACTTCTTCCACTCATCTCATTATTTTCTTTTTCTCTCATTCATGATTTTGTGACTGTTAGAGCTTCTTCCCATCTTCTTCTCTGTCTTTTCCTTTTCAATCTCTTTTAAATATAGGGTTGCAAAGGGTGGGGCTAAGGGTTTGCAAACCTCGAAAGAGATGGACGTCACGGGTGAGGGTAAGAGAGACAAGAGGTGAAAGGAACAAAGGCGTCACATAAAAAATGGGAAGGGTAGTTGGAAGCAAGAGAAAGAAGGCCTAGGCGTGGGTGACGATGAGCTAACAAGCGTTGATTCAAAAATAGAGTAAGTGGTAAAGGTTGCTAAGTGGGGCAATTGATGGTAGAATGGTGTGGAATTGTGAATCTCTAGCATTCACTAAGATATTTTATGATAGTGAAATGGTAGTGTAATATTTGTGAGATATATATATATATATATATATTTTAAAAAAACCCTTCAAATTACACAAAAGAGAAAGAGAGTTGCTACATGTTATTATCATTATTGTACCACATTAAAATCTCACCGTTAATATATATGTGGTATATATTCCTACATATATTAGGTATTAATTTCCTAGATATGGTCGTATTATCATAGTTAGATTTCTTGTAGGATACTTTTCTCATAGTTAGGCTTCTAGTAGGATACTTTTTCTTAGTCTATATATATAGGCCTTCCATTGTATAGATTATTTCGTTAAATGCAACATATTATTTCCTATCTCTCTCTCTACTATTGTAACATGGTATCAGAGTTTTGGTTTTAAATTCTAACTTTTTTTCTCCTCTTACATAGTGGCACTGTAGCATCACTATTCAATCAAACCAAACAACCATCCTCTGTTCCTCGCCATGTCTGGTTTTCTGAACGGCAAGAAACTATAGCGCATTATCACTGGGGATGTGACCAAACCAGTAAAAGATGCTAATGAAATTGCAACCAAATATGAAGACTGTTTAGAGGATTGGGACAGTAAAAACTACCAGATCATTACTTCGCTTCAAAATACATCTGTTACCTCTATCAGTCTCCAATTTGGTCATTTTCAGCTTGACTCTGTTATCACTCCTGGTAAAGACATTTAGGATTTTCTGAAAAACTGGTACCAGACTACTGGTCTTGCTCATCAATATCAACTTCAGAGTCAACTTCACCGCATGTGTCAAGAATCTGGTTAGTCCATTAATGATTTTCTTTCTCAGATATATTCTGTTTGGGACCAACTTGCTCTCTCTAAACCTGAATGGCCTCATACTGAAGATGCCACTTTATTCACTAAGTATTGCAATCAACAACGGTTAGTTCAGTTTTTCATGGCTTTTACTACCTAGTTCGAGCCCGTGCGTACATCTCTATTTCATCGTACTCTCCTGCGCACTTTTGAGCAGGCTATTTCAGAGTTGTTATCTGAGGAGACACGTCTTAATACTCTCTACACTCATCACGTGGACTCTGTTCTTGCCACTTCTCAATCACAGGGTTCTTCTTCGATCACCTAGCGGTCCAATGCTTGCATTTACTATCAGAATCGAGGTTTTCCTTCTACTTATTTTCTCATTCATTGCCCAGTCAGATCCTGCCGGTATTGTAACAAGATTGCTTTTGGTCATCTGCAACAAGATTGCTTTTGTAATCCATCCTGATCATCTCCTTCTAGTCACTCCTCTCATGATAGCTCTTCAAGGGAGGGTCCATGTCATTCCGAGAATTAATCTTGATCTTTGTCCGTTCATTGTACTGTTGCTGCTACCTTTGAGGATTCATCTAAGCCTTTAGATTCGGCTGCTCCTATTTCTGTCTTTTTGATGGGTTGTTACACACACAACAAATAAACACTAAACTATACCAAATTCTTTTAGGATAATGGCAAGTTTAGGTATCGATCCACAGGGGCAAATGTGAAATTAGACTAATTCAATCGCTAAATTCCTAAATTAATTTTGATTAAAAAGATTGAGAGATTTTATGACTAAACAGGAATTAAATGAAATTGAGAAATTAAATTGACAATTAAAATTAGGGTTTGAGATATTAATTTTTGGGGAAAATCCTAGGGCAAAGATTTTACCACTAACCACATAATTGAGAATTAACATCAGCAATCAATTGCAATTCGGTTTGAAATACCCAATATTTCACAACTACAAGTTTGAAATATTGATCAAGAGGGTTGTCGCATTCAACGTACAGGCACGAATCATCTCGAGTAGCACAAGGCGTTTGCTCTAAACTATGGTAGCAATACGACCCGTCTCTCGTAGCACGACTCGTCTCATATTTTGAATACAAACACAAAGAAAACTAATGTATGAAAAGCATTAAACAATCACAGAGAGTAAAATACTAGAAGAAATGAAAGAAACAATTATTAAAAACTTCTAAATTATCCATACATTGATTCAAACCGATTCACAATCAAAACTTATGAAAAATCCTATTACATGGCTAGGGTTTCATCAAAACCCTAAAAAAAAAGACTAGCCACTCATGGCGGAGTGGGAAGAGGTGGAAGAGATGGAAGCCCCCATGGAAGTTATCTTTAAAGCTTGAGGGAAAATCACCTTCCGTAAAACCCTAGCCTCTCTTTCTTTAAAATCAAATTTTAGAACCCTAATCCAGCCCTTTTCTTGCCTTTTTACATCTCTGCTGTCTTTGCAAACAGGTTTAAAACATTGGGCCCATTTTCAAAGGTACGGCTGCACGTATGGAAAAATTCAACACACGTGTGAAAAATTCTTTTCTCTCCAAATTTTGTATTTTTGCCCATTTTATGCTCCGACTATGTACAACCTGATTGACTTAAACAGACATAAAATATATAGTTTGACAAGCTGTAGACACCCCATTTTTGACCGACCTTGAGACTTAGACGTCACCAGTTGAGCGCTCGGTGATATTTCATATTGTGCTCGTTCAGAAGTTTCAGAGTCTCGGCTGCGAGCCTTGCCTCCGGACTTCCGGACTCTTTTGTGCTTTGCCTCGGTTTGCGAACCAGGCTCCGTTTTCTCTGTTTTCTCTTCCCGAAGGAAGGGAGAGGTCTCGTAGATCATCTCTCAGTGGCCGTAGGCTACGCTTCGTGGTCGTAGGCCGTTTTGCCCATTTGGAGTCCAGTTTCCGGTTTTTCGGAGCCGTTGGCCATGTGCCTCGGTTCGGGACCGCTTAACCACCTCCGTTTGCTCCATTTTTTGGCATGCATCTTATTTATTCCCTTTTGAGGGACATTGCGGTCTGAGAGACCAACTTCGTGGTCGGACACCACTTCCGGTGCCTAACAGCCCACTTTCAGGGCCCCGAACTGCGTGTTTTGGCTCCCGAACTTTCATTCTGTATTTTTAGGCTCCGACCCGAACTTGAGATAGTCATATTTTGAGGTCCTTTTCATGTTTTATTAAGGACCTTTTGCTGTTTGAGATCTCCTACTGCCACTTACTTCTTTACCCTCTTTTAGGCCTTTTTCTTGCATGATAGTTTAGGCCTACTTGTATTTATTTTCCCGAACTTTCATTCTGTATTTTTAGGCTCCGACCCGAACTTGAGATAGTCATATTTTGAGGTCCTTTTCATGTTTTATTAAGGACCTTTTGCTGTTTGAGATCTCCTACTACCACTTATTTCTTTACCCTCTTTTAGGCCTTTTCTTGCATGATAGTTTAGGCCTACTTGTATTTATTTTCGTGGCTTGTCATAAACTACAAAGTGTCTTATTTTGAGTCTCTATTCAACTTTGTTGAAGGGCTCTCTTTGGTTTGAAATCTCCTACTATCACTTGCCCCTTTATCTCCCTTCTAGGCCAATTTTGGGGGGAAATTTGAATTTCATTTCCCCCCCCC